CTATATTTGCATTATATTTGCACTTGAGTAATTTGCAATTACTCAAGGTGAGGGCCGTGTTCAGGGAGAGTAGAAAAGAGGACTAGAAAACCATGTAATTCTCCCTACCACCACCATGGAACCTCTGAAGCTTTTTTCTGGGTTTTGCCTACAAGGAACCAATGATAGCAAAGTGTAGTGGAAATACTTGACCCTGTGAATTACCATCTTGCCACAGAGCCAGATGGTAAACTTCACATTGGGTACAGTGAGCTCAGATGAAAGATACCTTCCTCTCCTTGACCCCCTACCACTAAATCTGTAGCCTGGACTTAGGACCTATAGGCAACCCATTACAGTCAGTTTCTTCTTCTTCATATATCATAGAAATTAGCAATTAGTCTACCGTAGCATACCCAACTCTGCTTGCAAAGGAAAAAGCCACCATTACCATCATGGCAGAGCTTAGCAGGAAGAAATGAAGATTCTACTAGGTAAGGTTGCTAGCAAAGCAGGGGATATGTAGAAATAAACCTCTATTAGCAGGGGAAGAAGTAGACAGACAAAGAAGTGCATCCATTGGATGAGGCAAGCATGAGTTACCAGAGGAGGAAGTGCACCCTGTTATGAAGGAAGGGCTAAGGAAGAATGACATAGTGCTAATGGATGAGGAGGCAATGAATTGGAGGAAAGGGGAGCATATACTACTGCTTCAGGGCAGTAGAAGGACACTAGTGAATGAAACCAAGGACTTCTGGGCTTCTGGAAGTCAAATTGCCACCTGGAAGGTGCTAAATGAGCCTCTACCTTACCAGCCTCAAGAAAAAGTCCTACCTTCCTCATTCTAATTATAACTCTCAAAATAACAGTATTTATATAACACTTTAAGGTCCACAAAGATCTTTACATATTATGACCCTGTAAGGTAGATGCTATTATAATCTCCATTTTATAGACAATGAAACTGAGGCTGAAAAGAAGTAAAATGACTTACCCAGGTTTGTAAATTACTAAATTCTGAGGTCAGATTTCAACTGGTCTTCCCAAATCCAAATCCAATATTCTATCCACTGTACCACCTAGCAGTCTCTGATGAGTATTTGAATTACATTCATGAAAATATGAAGGAGCAGCTAGGTGGCACAGTAGATGGAGCACCAGCCCTGGAGGGAGGACCTGAGTTCAAATCTGACCTCAAACACTTACTAACTGTGTGACCCTGGACAAGTCACTTAACCCCAACTGCCTCCCAAAAAGAAAGAAAGAAAACAAAATGTGCAGGGCCTGGAGCTCATTCTTTTTTTTAGGGAGGGGATCTCTGTAGTACTCTGGTTTTCCATTGACTAAAAGTTTTTCTCCTATGTATGTGTATGATCGTATATTATTGATGTATGTACACACACACACATACACACACACAAACACACACACACATATTATATATATACAGATACACATGTACACACACACACATACACAAACATACATGCTGACATAAATAAATATGAGGGCAGCTCTACAGTCTTTTATCCTACAATTAGTCTCCAGTTCTTGATAAAAGATTAGCAAAGGACAGTCCAGGTACTATCAGAAAGGGGCGTAGTTTAATTTTACTTTAATTTGCTTTAATTTTTCAGGGCCCAGTAGATAAATAAGTGAAATATGAAACAAGCAATTAAGCAGGGATGGAATTACAGAGAGTATATGTTAAGCCCAAGTGAGGCTAGCTTGTGATGTGGTATATTAACTTCTGAGAAAACCTCCACCATTTTTACAAGAAACATTAGGAAATAGTATGATTACCTCTATGGTTATGATTCTTGGTTCCACATCTTCATAAATAATCTTCACTTTCTCAGCTGCTTGCTTTGCATGGCCATATGTATCTGCAACCACAGCACAGACAATCTGACCTACGCAAATCACCTATAATGCAACCAAATATTATCTATCAATCCATGAGAGTGGTCACCATAAATTTTAAATTCTGCTGATGAGAGTTTATCTCATTTCCCATAAAACACAGTACAACTAGATGGTACAGTGTATAGAACTCCGGACCTGAAGCTAGGAAGGAGTTCAAATCTAGCCTGAGACACTTACTAACTGTTTGAGCCTGGGCAAGTAACTTAACCCTGCTTGCCTCAGCTACCTCATCTGTAAACTGAAAACAAAAATAGCATCTACCTCCCATGGTTGTTATGAGAATCAAATGAAATAATAATGATAAAGTGCTTAGCACATGTTCTTTTCCCTCAGTCATTTCAGTCCTATATGGCTCTTCATGACCCTGTTTGGAGTTTTCTTGGCAAAGACACTGAAGTGGTTTGCCATTTCCTTCTCCACCTCACTTTTTTACAGATGAGGAACTGAGGCAAAAAGGGTTAAGTGACTTGCCCAGGGTCACACAGTCAGTAAGTATCTAAGGCCAGATTTGAACTCAGGAAGGTAAGCACTCTACTCACTTCACCACAGTGTTTCTCATATAGTAAGCACTATAGAAATGTTAGCTGCTATTATTATTATTACCTCCTAGGTTTGTAAAGTTTAGCACAGTACCCAGCCCATAGTAAGTACTATATAAATGTTAGCTATTATTATTCCTTAGTACTAGAAATAAAATTAGTTTATAAACTCAGAACTGACAGAGATCTCAGTTATCATCTAGTACAACTCCTCATTTTACAGATGAGAAAATTGATATCTAGAATGATGAAGAGCCTTGCTTACAATCAGAAAAGTAGTAAGGACATATTTGTAACCCAAATTCTCTTACTCCAAATTCAATGCTTTTTGCATTATCCCACACTTATCCAGAAAAAGAATTTAGTTTCCCTCCATCATTTTATTGGATTCCCACAACTGTGAGTTAGATAGCAATATATATATGTACATATGTATATGTCATTATTATTATTAATTATTATTATTATTAAATCCATTTTGCAGCTAAGGAAACAAAATTTTAGAGAGATAGAGTGAATTTCCTAAGGTTACTCCATTAGTAAGTGAATGAATGAATAAACAAACAAGCAACAAAATAAATAAAACAGTTATTAAGTGCTTACTATATGTAAAGTACTATGCTAAAGTGGGGATGCAAGTAGAAAAAATAAGAGGTTCCCTGTTCTGCTACAGCTAGGACTCAAACATAGGATTTCTGCCCACAAGTATCTGTACATGGTGTAGATAGTCTATATGATAGTTGCAAAGAAAACAATGAGTATTCTGGACTTTTAAGGCACAATATTTAGAATAGTAAATCACACATGAAATAGTCAAATATTAAGTTCCTCATTGGTCCTGGAACAGATAGCACACCTCATTTTCTGCATATCATATCTCCCCTTCCTTGATGTTTTCTCCTGGGACATCTTTGGCAGTTATCACATCCACAACACCTGGAAATTCAAGGGCCTCTGAAACATCAATTGACCTTGGAAGGAAAATATTAGGATTAATAATATAGATTGTGATTCAATGACCTTGATCTTAAGGTTGAATTAGAGATTGTGTGCTAATGATTGTTTCTCATTGTGAAACCAGCAATCTTGAAAATGACAAGGAAGGACCCAAGTTATGAAAGTCAGTCTGCCAATTCCACTGACGTAGTTTCCTAATTACTGTAGTAGGTGATGGTAGCATGAATTCTTCTGGGAATTCGGGTGGGTTGGAAGGAAGGCAGGGGCTACTTGAAGTCTGTACTTTCGAAGAAATCGGTAAGTAGAGCAAATTGAGGCTACTGTCTAGCAAAACATAACATGTGTGGTACTGAACCTTTAAAGCCTGAAAGACCTTGCTTCATAATAAGCCCCTATCAGCTACTGACACTGCTTCAGATGCTGACTTTCACTTTGGAACCTTCCAGTTCCTCACTTTATTTCTTAATCCTTGAATCTTAACCTATTAACCAGTATTTCATTCTGACCTTTAGCTATTCAAGAAGTTTTCTTATGCCCCCTTCCACCTAATCCTCAGATGAGGGAGGGCTCATTCAATAAAGAGCAAGAAAAAATTTCCAAGACTGGAGACATTGGCATCTCTAGGGAGTTGTTGCAGGTGACAAGAACATTGGTACAAAAAATCCAAATCCCAAATTGAAAATTTCGAGTCCAGACAAGTAAAAGTTTTTCTTTTCTAGTGGTTCTAGGACAAAGGAGGCAATTCTAAGTTCCTTCCTTGTGGACTGAAAAGCCAGATAAAAGTATCATTTGGGGCACAGGAAAGATGATAATTCCATCAGATCTCTAAGCAAGCAAAGCCAAAGCTAAAGGAAGATTATGGAAAAGTTGAGCCACATTTATCAAACCAATTCTATTCTTTATGGATCCAGTATCTAATCTGTTAGCTAGGTCAGTAAATATTGGTCTAGTTAATGCTGAAAGAAAAAAGTGGAAATAGGGGGTCAATCAAAGAAAAAAAGAGGAAGGAAGAAAATAATAGGGTAAGAGTGGAGAGAAGAAATGTCTCTACCCTCTCCAGCAAACCAAGTTGGATATTGGTTCTTAAAAGACAGGTGATGGTAGCAAGGAACTACCAAAAGACACCAGCAGCCTAAGTCATGCAGGCTACTAGGGAAAGGGAATGATCAATCAATCAACTGGTAAATATTATTAAGTGCCTTCTATGTGCCAGGCACTGTGCCTGGAGGCACTAAAGGAGACAAAAGAAAGTCCCTTCCCTCAAGGAGGTTACAGTGTAATGGGGAAACAATATGCAAATTAATATATACAAAACAAGCTATGTAGAAGCTAAATAGGAAATAATAGATGGAAGGCAGTGGAATTTGGAAAGGTTGGGATAGGGATAGCTACAAAAGCCATATACAAAAGCTACAAAAGAAGGTGGAATTTTAACTGAAACTATGATGAAATCATGGTGGGAAGAGAAAGGGGAATGGGGTACAGGCAGGGGTGTGCTGGTATAAGCTTAACAACTACTCTCCCCAAAAAATGTATTCACAGCATACTTTTAAGTTTAATCTGCAGTATTTCTCCACAATCTTAAGTCTAGAAACAAAAAAAAAAACAATAAGTCAAAGCTGATTTATATTATTTGCCAACTTCTCACATATAAGGGCTCACACTGAACATTTAACTATCATCTTACAAAGCCAAGAAGAGCTGGCTCTAGCATACTTCTGGGTACAGTGGACCCAGAGAATCACATGGTTGCTGCAAAGTTAATTATAGTACATTTTTATTGCAATACATTTTAAGTGATTCCAAATAAGAAACAGAAAGCACTATGCACTTGTGAAATCCCTTATAATGTATTGTAATATCTTCATAGCCACTATCCTGTCCTTCGGGTACACTATGTCCTATCCTCTCTCTCCTTCTCCATTGACTTGCATCATTATTGAGCACACATTGTATGTATTGAGCCATAGATTTATTTATAGTTCTGCCATAAATAACTCAATTACTTTTTACAGAAAGACCTGAAGATGCATAAAAGGACTCCAATATAAAACAGAGAATCTATTTTTTCATTATAAGTATATTCAGTAATTTTGTAGGATGTCTTTTTGCTTTACTCACAAGATTTTTGCATGAGCTCTGGTACTGGTCACTACAGCCAGAAGAAGTTCTTCATCCACTCGGAGTATGTCATCATTATAGACAGATTCCCCAGTGGCATGTTTAAGCCCTGACTGGTGCATGACTGGATGTCCAACTGGATCTTGGGGAGGTTGGTGGGGATCTACACACTTTTAAATGAAAAAAAAAGTTGATCCACTATTGGACATTTTTATCATAAGCAACATTTCTGAGCCATTGATAAACTCCAGGAAAAGAAAAAAAAAAACAACACACACATACAGGCAATGGCCTTCTAGATATCCTTGTCAATATGTCAGGTATTTGTCAATGAACATTTGCTATGTACTGAGCATAGTACTGGACATTTACTCGTTAGTTGTATAATATAGAACACATACATCTGAAAATCATTTAGTATCCTTTATACAGCAACATAATAGTTAAATTTTATGTAGTGCTTTAAGGTTCCCAAATACTTTCCATATGCAGGGTATCCCTAAGTCTTAGTACTATTTGAATCTTTAATACCTATCAAAGGTGTTAAATTTATTTAAATTCTTTTGTACAAATACCCATCTAAATGTTTATTATTATCCTATTTGATCCTCCTAACAACTCTGTGAGGTAGGTGGTATTATTATACTCATTTAACACATGAGGAAACTGAGACAAATAGGGGTTAAGTGACATACAGCAAATAAGTATCTAAGACAAGTTTCAAACTCAGGTTTCCTGACTCCAACATTCTATCCACTGCGCCCTTCCTCACATACATAGTATTATATCAGACAGATAGATAGATAGATAGATAGATAAAGATATGTAGATATAGAGATATAGATAGACATAGATATACACATGTATATACACACACACATATATGGCATTATATACATTAAAATGCATAGTATTATATATCAACATAGTATATATCATATGATATAATTGCCATATTATTCTATATTATATGTAGTATTATATGTAAATATATAGTATATAGATGGTTACATACATATATACATGTGTATGTACATATATACAATATATACTATGTGTTCCTAGAGTATACATATTATATATTAATATAAAGTATATCCATATAGTATATATACATATATAATATGTATACATGTGTAATAAGTAGTATATATTGCATAGAGAGTGAATATATAGTATATATTGGTATTTTATATCATCTTACATATCAATATATTATGTACATATAATATATATTACATATATGGTATACACCAGTATTATACATATATAGTATTACATATATTATTATTTACCTCTATATAGTATGCATATAATATATAGTATATATAGTATTACATATTAATTCAAGGAAGATAGGGCAGTGCTGAGGAGGCATGAAGTAAATAAAAGAGTGATCAGAGTGGAATGAGATTAATCAGGGCAAGCTTCCTGGAGATAAAATTTGCATCTGATTTTAAAGGAGAAATTTGAAATGTTAGAAAAGAACAAAGAGGCCATTTTTGGTGAATGTCTCAAAGTAGAAATTCAGTTAAAATTCCCTTAGGTAAAAGCATTGGAGCCAGTACTAAGAAAGTCATATGTAGATGATAGTGATCAAATCCATTTGGCTCCAGTAGAATGCCTAACAGGAAATGTGCATGCTGAAAATGGGGAGAGGGCATGGAGAGCACCTGCTTCTTGATAGCCTCAAGAGTATGAAGCTTTCTCTCTGCTTTCAAATTAAATGAAGCTACCAACCTGGAACATTTGTATTCCCTGTGGAATCTTGATGGCAAACTCTTCCAGAGCACTTTTGGAAGTTCCTGGGATTTCTGGGAACATTCTGGGATCCTGAAAAATGAAAAAAAAGATAAATGCTTTCACATTTAAATATTTTATGAAAATCAAGGTTTGAGGGTATGACTTTGAAAGTGACATTTTTCATTTATTTCCAAGGTTTCAATTCTGCTATGAAATGGGTTGAATTGAAAGAACAAAATTTCTGATCTTGAGAGAAGTTTGGGCAGAGGTACAATGAGGCTAGAGACCCCCCAATGAGAAATAGCAAATTCCTCCCTTCCTCTTGTTCACACCATTGTATTCATTTTGTCCTCCCTTACTTTCCTCTTTTGAAACCTCAAGAACAGAACCTATTCACCCCCAAGCCCATTGTTTTTCTTGTTTCTTCTCCCTCTATTAGAATGTTATCATTACAAAATCATGCAGCTGCTTCCAATTAATCAAATAAATTTACCTTTATAGGTTTATGTGCATTTTTGTGTTTATATCTTAAAGTTCTTGCTCATCTCTGGACTTTACATCAGAACTGCTTGAAAGTCTTCTACAACATTGAATATCCATTTTCCCTTATTAAATGATACCCAGATTTGTAGGGAAGTTATTATTGATTTTAAACTGGTATCTTTCATCTTTTTGAATACTGTATTCCAAGATCTCCTCTGGTTTTCAATAGAAGCAGTTAAGTCTTGTTTGATACTGACTGGACTTTCTTGGTAATTAAACTTTTTCTTTATGGATGATTGCAGTATTTTTCCTTTGAAAGGAAAACTGTGATGTTCCAAGGACTCTTGCTTTTGGGGTTCCTTTCAGGAAGATTGTTGAATTCTTTTTAATTCAACTTCTCCTAAGTGATATATTCAACATCATATAGCTAAGGGCAGAGTCAGGATTAGAATGGGAAGTCTTTTAACTCTGATTTATTTTCCACTATGCCCTGCTGCTTTGGGGATAAGATGGGAACTTTGGGTAAATGGCAAGTTTTCAATGAGGAGTAGTTCAAATGCAATAGATAAGAATTAGATGTTAATTGACTGAAAGCTGAATGATTTAAGGAATGGTCAAAGTCAAGGAATGCTATAGAAGAACTGAACTAGATGATGAGTTCCAACTAACACAAATGGTGAGAGATCATTGTGCAAGTACAGTAATGGAGGGAAAGAGGTCAGTGAATCTCTTATGATGGGTAGTTTCCATTATCAAAGGTTAATGAATATAAATGCAGAAAATAAAAGAATGTGTAAATGAAGGAGGGTGGGCAAAGGAAAAGGTGTCTGTGTGTATATATGAATGACATTTAGTGTTTTGTATGTCTCTCTAAGCATAAACAGAGTTAAATTGGAGTATGGTCTGTGTTACTCCATTAGTGAATGGCATGCCAAGTTGCAAATAAAATTTGCATTAAATATTTAAATCACAAAATATAAAGTTGTGTCTTTGGGGGTTCATCATGGATTCTGGGTGATATATTAGGGCAAACATGTTCAAATAGTTAAAAGTCCTTTTTCCATTTGCATTTTCAAAATATTAGATAGTCAAAACTATTCACTTGATCATCAAAGAAAATGGAACATATACATTCTGCATTTGGTACAGGCTAGTATTTGGGAAACTTTATCAAAATACACTTATAAGAGGAGGGGAGTCTTTATGAGGATCTTGAGTCCAGGTGAGAAAGCAGAGGACATCTGAATATATAAGAAGAAACCTCATAAAGAGAAAGATTGCTTTTACAGGTTGAACGCCAGTGAAGAGATTAATTTATTTGGTGGGAAGTATTTTCTTTCTTTAGTAATGGCAAAGTGAGAATGATTTTGAAGCCTTTATTATCTTGCTTTTGACTCTTTGTATGTAGGTGTGTGTGTGTGTGTGTGTGTGTGTGTGTGTGTGTGTGTGTGCATGCAATTTCAATCCTTGAGAGAAAACAAAAACATTAAATTTCTGTGGATTTCTGTGAAAGCAGATGTGTGTGGGGGTGGGGGTGGGATAAAGGAGATAATGAATGACCATACCTTTGAACCGGGAATTCTTGTTATTTTGGTTTTGGAAATTAAGTAATGTATGTTGAGATTATAAAATTTTAGCTTATAAAAATTTAGCTCTTCTTAATCATGCCCAGTATCACATGATAAATTTCCACTCTAAAATTATTTATGGTAAAGGGCTATGAGAAATAAGTAAAATATTATTCCGGTATGTGAGTTTGTTTGTGTGAAACATTTCTTGCTGCAAAATAGATCATGGGAAAACTGTCTGAACCATGTATTGTTTGCCTAATGCAGACATAAATGCCTTGAGGGCCATCCTTGAGGGATGATCAGGGAAGACTTTGGCACTATTCACAAGTGGACTAAAATAATGACAGTAATGATAATGATAGCTGATATTTTGTTGGCGGTGGTCATTTTAGATTCTGTATTTTGGAATTTTCTTGGCAAAGATACTAGAGTGGTTTACCATTTCCTTCTCCAGCTCATTTAACAGATGAGGAACTGAGGCAAACAAGGTTAAGTGTCTTGCCCAGAGTTACAAGGCTAGTAAGCATCTGAGGCCAGATTTGAATTCGTGAAGAGGAGTCTTCCTGATTCTAAGCCCAGCGCTTCATCCACTGTACCACCTAGCTACCTAGTTGACATTTTACATAGGGCATTAAGGTTTACAGAACATTTTATATACATCCTCTTATTAGTTGTTGAGATGTAAGGTAGGAAGAGTTGTGAGATCCTTACAACTACTCTGTGAGATGGGTCTACACATATTATCTCCATTTTGCATCTCCAAACTGAAGGTCAGAAAGTTTAAGTATCTTGTCTCTAGTTATATAACTAACATCACAGCAAGAAACAAACCCCAGCTTTCTTGAATCTTAATTCAACTCTGTATTATACAATACTAATCAAAATGGAAAGTGATTAATGTTGGAGGGGGTGATTCCTATATCTAGTATTGTTTCTACTCCACAACATCTCTTGCATACATGTTTCTCTTCATTCCCTTTCTCAATAAATCTGAGTAGCTGCCAATTATCTAAAGGATCAAATATTAATCCTTTGATTGGCATTTAATAGTATTCACAATTGGGCTTAATCTTCTGAGTTTTATTATATATCATTACCATGATTCACTATGCTGGCTTTCTTGTTCCTCTTGGACATAGTCAACATTCAGTCTCCTTCCCGACTCAGTGATTTTGCACTAACTGTCCTCCATCCCTAGAATATCTCCTTCCTCAAGTTTTACCTCTTAAATTCATTCATTTCCTTCAAGACTCACATCAAGTGATGCCTTATGCATGAAACTTTTCCTGGTCCACCCCACCCCAGCCTATAGTACCTCTCTGCAAGATTATCTCGTATCACTTTGTGTATTTTTCTATTATTGTCTCTAACATTCTGACAGTTACTGACGCTCACAACATCACTGTCATCCTCAGTCTCATTTACTCCATATGTCCAATCAGTTATCAAATTTTGTTTCCACCTTCACAACATCTCTTGTATATGTCCCGTCTTCTCCACTCACACAACTACCTCCTTCTATTACTTCATCATCTCTCACCTGGACTATTGCCTTCTGGTTCTTTACCCTGTCTCAAATCTCGCTTTACTCCAATCCATCCTCCCCTAAGCTGCTAAAATTGTTTTCCTAAAGCTTTGGTCTCAATATGTCAAACTCTCCTCATTAAACTCCAATGACTCCTTATTTCTTCTAGGATCAGATACAAGTCCGTTGGTTGACACATAAAGCTTTTCATAACCTGACTCTTTCCTACCCCTTTAACCATGTTATGCTTTATCCCTCTCTATACGCATTGCAATGAGGTATACTGGCCTACATAACTCTATACACTATCTCTGACTTAGTGCTTTTGCACTAGTTGTCCCCAATACCTAGAATGTTCTTCCTCCTCCCATCTGTTTTCTAGCTTCCCTAGATTCCTTCAATATTTAACTCAAATCTTACCTTTTTATAAAAGGCCTTACCTACCTGTTGCTAATTCCTTTTCTCTTAGATTACCTTCCATTTATATATCTTTGCATATACATAGTTGTTAGAAAGTTCTTTTCCACTAGAATGTGAGCTCCTTGGTAGAAGGGATCATATTTTTGTCATTCTTTCTTTCTGCAATGTCTAGCACAGTGCCTGGCAGGTAATAAGTACTTAATAATTGTTTGCTGGCTGTTTTGCTCTTTTCTTTTTAACCTTAGTATCTGGCATGGGGGTGGTACTTAATAAATTCTTGAGAATTCACTTATGGATTGATGGATCAATCAATTGGAGGTAAAGAAGGCAAAGGTTCTATAGATTGAGCATTGGTGGGAAGTCAGTTGGGCAGTTCATCATATTACATTGTTGGAATAGAGCCTATCTTTCAACACAGATGACCAAAAAAAAAAAGAAAAAAGAAAAGAAAACTTTGAGGAGATATTGGTTTTCAAGTGGCAGCTTCATGTGGTGTAATTACATTCATCTGGGCAAGCTGAGACAATAGATGATGAACATGCACTACGGGATGAGCATCAAAAGGAAAATGCATCGTTTGATATCACTGGTGCATGGAGAACACCAAAGGGACAGGATCCAAGTCAAGTTGGTCTACCATTTTGCTATCCAGTGTTTAGAAAGAAAATGGCTTATATGATACAAGATCAGACAAGTCTGCTTACTTAGGCCTAAGTGGGAGGACCCCTATAAAGTTATGTGTCATCTGGGGCCAGAACTTTACTACATTCTTTGTGAGAAGGCCAAATGACTATTTAATTTTAAAATTTACAACTATCGTTCATATACCAGGACACACTGATAGGTACCATGATTGTGAACTGTTAGAAGAGATTGTTAAGTGTGCTATTGGGATTTGTTTTTGTTTGAATTGGGAATACCATTTGGATATAGTATGATACTCCTCTTGTGATTGGTTAACATAGCAGAAAAAGCAATTGTAATCCTGGGTTTGTTGTTACTGGAGGATGGGTCATTGTAATGCTGGATGTGAAAATATCACAGAAGGTTCCTCAATTATTAGCTTCAATGGGAAGGTTTCATTGGAGGAAAAAAATTTATGCAGCCTTCTAGATTTAGTGACTATCACAGTCCTTTGGTAGAACTTGAAATAACAGGACTCAAAGAGGACTTGGAAAAGGATGATAAGAAGAATTAGAGCTTCTGCTAAAAGATAAATGGAAGTCATGCTCCAGAGAGAAGGGGGAAAAGTAAAAGCACTTATTTCAGTAAATTGAAGGAATAATTGAGTGAATATTATAGGATATATTATTCTGGGCTTTCCAAACTCCAACTCTGGATTACCCCCATCATTCTCTCACTTCCTACTCTTGCACTGCTGAATGCTGATGGAAGTAGTCATACAACTGCTCTCGCTGGATCGACTAAAAATGTATGATGTGTAAACTGAGCTGCAACTGCCATAATATTATTTTTGGCTTTTATTCTTCAGGTATTCTTCTTGATTGATTGCCTTTCTCTTTCCCCACAACAGCTATTTTGGGCCATCTCTTTTCTCATCAAGTTTCTACTGCATTTTCTCCCTCTCAGAAAAGGGCTTTCCCTCATATTTTACCAAGAAAATTGAGTCTATTCATTGTCAGCTCTCTTTTCCCCAGTTCTGCTCCTCAAATCACCTCAACATTACTTCCCCCCAAACGATCTATGATTCTCTTCTCCTTTGCTCTGAGAGGAAAAAGTGGTTCTGTTTGCCTAGGTCTGCTGTTGCTACTGTTTGTCCTTCATTCTCCAAAAGACCATGACATCAGCAAGGTGATGCCATTACAAGCAAGGGAATTAGATTTAAGTGAGGGGGGGCTGCACCAAGGTTCATCCTTGTACTTGTTCTCTTAGTCCCATTGCCTTCTCTATCCTCTGGGAGCTAGCCCCTTTGATAACCCTTCTCTTTAATCTTTTATTTCTCCTGATCCACTAGTTCCATCCTTTCTGCTTATGAATAAGCCCAAATCTCTCCCATCTTAAAAAAATGATTTAATCTTGTCATTCTCTCAAGCAATTGTCCTGTGCTCCTCCTGCTTTTGCCAACCAAAACTCCAAGGAAGAGCTTTCTATATATATTACCTTCACTTAACATCCCATTCAGTTCTGGACCCATCTCAAGCTAACTTCCAAACCCATCACTTGCCTGAAATCACTCTCTCCAAACTCTATAATCTCCTAAGTGTTAATCACAATGGCCTTTTCTCAGTTAGCATATTTCTTGATCTCTGCTGCATCTAATACCTTTTTTTGATTATCTCTCCTCTCTAGGTTTTTGTGATGCTGCTATCTCCTTGTTCTCCTCCTGTCATCTAGAAGGAAGCCTTTTCAGTCACCTTTGCATTATCTACATGTCTCCTGTGCATCAATATACCCCTTGGTCTATCCTATGTCTTCTCCTCATCTATCTCTACATTATTTTTCTTGATTATCTGATCAGTACCCACATGTTTAATAATCATCCCTCTGCACAGCTGGGACTCATCTATCACCTTTTCTTCCATCTTACATCACTGACTACCAGCTAAATGTCTCAACTTAGATGTTTCACAAACTCAAGATTTCTGAAATACAACTCAATATCTTTTCTCCTAAACCTATATTTCCTACTAACTTCTCTACAGCATTTCCATGGTGAGAAATTATAAATCTTATCTGCTTTCATAAAATCCTCAACTCTGCTCCCTCCAACCTAGCTAAGAAGATGGCTTCACTTTTTATTGTACTAAGAATATTAAGGAGATCCAATATGAATTAGCCTTGCCTATCTGTTTAAAACTTTTAAATGTCATCATTCATCCTTTATTCATTTGAGCCTCAGAGAAAAGAGTGGGATTCTTCCTTACGAAAGATAATCCATTCACCTCTATTCTTGATTCCATTACCACTCATTTCTTCTAGCACTTTTCACCACCAGTTTTTCTTCCTGACAACATTTCTCTTATCATTAATGTTTCAGCTGACTCATGTATTGAAGATAGACAGGAAAATAAAATTTCCTTGTAGGTTCCACATTCTAGGTTAGTTTTGTACCTAAGGTATCTATCTCCCTTTTGGTGGCTGCACAAATTGTGGCTAGAGACAGTAGAACAGATCTGCAGGAAGGGGAAAGAAGGCCACTCACTTTCACCCTCAATGGTTCCTTTATGACCTCTGCCACTGGTCTCTTTTCCCTTCCCCACATGACATATGTGGAAAGGCATGCATGTAGCCCACTGATCAAGTTTCTTCCTTGCACTACTACCACCAAGCTCCTTTTTCTCCTTTACACAGTCAGACCCTGGTCCCAGGGCCAGGGCCTCTGTTCCAAAACCTTGAAACTTTACTTCCTCATTAAGGATGTACTTTAGCTGGCACTGAAAGGATGGATACATTTCCTACTTCAGAAATACTGTGCAACTAACTACCTTAAACTCAGGTTCTGCTGGTTAGGCATGAAGTTACAGCTGTAAATTCTTTTACCACTGTACAATGATCTGGTAATATCAGTTTAAATATATATGTGTGTGTATATATATATATATATATACATACATACAATACATTATATTATATAAGTATTTAAATAAATATTTAAATAAATATAAATAAAAAACTATCTGATAGCAAAACCTAGGTTTAAAAAAATCTTATTGAAGACTGCTATGGAAAAAAATCTTTCACAGATTAGACTCACAAAGCATACACAAATATCAGTGAATTTCAAGACAGAAAAAGTAGCTTACCAGCTTATGCAGTTCTCTTAGCACTTTGAGGTAGAATTTGAAGATGAAACTGATAATCAAGGTTCTTTTGTATTCTACCATGCCTCCTACAGCTGTTGGTGGAATGCGGATTTCATCCAGCACCAATCTGCATGCTTCACTCAACATTTCATCATTCCATTGTCTAGATGAAAAGGGAGGACATAGTTAACATGCTATACTGTTAGCAAGGGCAGCTAGGTGGTGCAGTGTATAGAGTGGTGGACCTGAAGTTGGGAAGACCTATCTTCCTGAGTTCAAATCTGACCTAAGACACCTATTAGCCCTGTGACCCAGGGCAAGTCACCTAACCCTGTTTGCTTTAGTTCCTCACCTGTAAAATGAGTTGGAGAAGGAAATGGCAAACTACTCCAGTATTTTTGCCAAGATAACCCCAAATGGGATCATTTAAAGTCGGATACAACTGAAACGGCTGAACAACAAATTATTAGCAAGCTGTACCGTAGTGCCTATGAAAATAATCTCATTTCCACTTTCAAAATGTCCTGAAAAGAAACATTTAATGTCCACCAAAATATGCTTCACCAGGTAACTAATTTGTTAGTGAGGGGTCCATTTATAGTAACATAAATTTCACCAATATAGTAGAAAGAGAGGTTAGGTAAAGGGGATCATCAGAGATATAAATAGATGATCATCTTACTTTTTCTCAAGAGATAGATTCTACAGTTTCACTTTTGCCACAAATGTCTGCTAGGTAGCATAATACTGACAACCACTTGTCATCAGAAAAAAAGTGTCAGCCAAATTAGAATACTTTTTTTTGTGAAAAAGAAAAATGTATAACATATTAAAGTTTGACACCTCTTTGTCATAAGATAACCAATAAATCTTTAAGATGTATAAAAGACATTAACTTTCACTATGCATCTCACTATAAAGTATTTTAAAGATTAGACTTGGCTTTGCCTGATTTAGTCATCTTGATAACATTCTGTTAAATTTTATGCATTTCTTGCTCTAACTTCTTTGCCTCAATGGCAAATAAGTTTTATTTTAATAATATAATATTTGATCCTCAGAATAATCCTGGGAGGTAGATGTTATTATCATCACCATGTTACACATGAAGAAACTGAGACTGAGAGAGAGTAATTGACTTGCCCAGAGTCATACAGCTATAATGTCACCAATGAATAATGCAGTCAATGAATTTCACGTGTGGTAGGGACAGTACAAAGAGACCTGTGGTAAGGAGAAAGAAGCACATTTGCTTTCACTCTCTGTGGTTCCTTTCTGACTTCTGCTACTATTCTCTTCTCCCTTGCCAAGTGACATATGTGGAAAGGTATAAGTGTATCTCTGTAACCTTATCCCAGACTCATTTTAAAATTCTAGACAAAGCCACAACTCTGTTAGTGACTATACTTAAACAGTTTTCCCAGAAAACATTTTTTATTAAAGAAATCATTTGCTGTAAAGGGTATATCCTTTACTTTGGTCCATATGTCAGATGGTCACGTATACTCTTCCCCTTAGTGATTTACAAAAACATGGTTCTTCATATATTTTTGAAATAAAGCCTAATAAACATTGTATGCTAAGAAATAATAGAAACATCTGTATTTTTTTCTTTAACTTCCCACATTTTGTAATTTGTTCTGACACTTGTGTCTTCAGAATTTCCACAATGCTATCTAAGTATCTTCCAATGGCATCTACTGACAAAAGACAAATTTTAGTTTGTTGTCATGTTTTCTATGTATTAGAGTAATGATTTTTACCACAAGAACAAGTATTTCTCCAAAGGCATATGGCTTTTTGCCTTTCACTATTGAATAAAAAACCTCAAAAGAATCTTCTAAACATTGATCATTAAGTTTAGTGAAATTTTATAAAATAATGGACTGAATAGGATCATCATGGCTTTAAACTCATCGTATGACTGATGAAGAGCCCACACTGAGAATAGTGTTAGTTATTTCATTTTCTTGCTTTTCACTTATGTTTGTGTTGTAAGTATGACTTCAACTGCAAAAGAAATTTGCAGTTGTCTTTTAAAGACAATTATACATTTTTGAAGATTAATTTAAAACTAGATGATATAAAGGGTAGCTAGATGATGTAGTGGACAGATTGCTGGGCCTGAAATCAAGAAGACTCATCTTCTTGAGTTCAAATATGGCCTTAGACACTTACTAGCTATGTGGGCAAAGCACTTATCCTTGTTTGCCTCAACTCCTCATCTATAAAATGAGTTGGAGAAGGAAATGGCAAACCACACCAGTATCTTTACCAGGAAAACCTCAAATGGGGTCACAAAGTCAAACATGATTGAAAAGACTCAGCAATGGACAAGATGATATAATCCATAGATTTCTTAACTAAGCAAATATAAAATGCAATATACTGGAAGCAAGTGAATGAGGTGCCGCTCTCAAATCTTTTGCAACATGAAACTTTTATTCTTCCCTCAAGATAACTTTGAACATTGTTTGTGTTATATGACCATCTGACATATGGACCAAATGCGAGCATGAAGGTCAATCTGTATATTCAATATTAGTGAAGGTTATTACTTTATTGTGTAAAGATAAAGAATACACATACATGTATATTTGTATAATTGTATTATACATTATATATTATATGTTACATATATATATACATATGTGATATATACATGTGTGTATTTGTGTGTGTAGATATATAGATGTATATATTCCTTGGCTAGAGAGGCCAATTATATGAGACTTTCTCCCTATTGATAGGGACCTATTATTCAATGCCCTGTGCCTGTGCAAGAGGTAGGGTAGACGTGCAGCTTGGTAGCTCAATAGATAGAGCACTGGCCCTGGAGTCAGGAGGACCTGAGTTCAAATCCAGCCTCAGACACATAACACAAACAAGCTGTGTGTCCCCGGGCAAGTCACTTAACCCCATTACCTGGCCAAAAAAAAAAAAAAAAAAAAAGGTAAGGTGGAGAGAAGAGAGATCTGGGGCTCTTCTAGTTTCAAGAGAGA